AGTGGCCGTGTGAACTCGTTCGTTTGTAGCTGCAAACGTTGACCGCCGCTGACGTGACGGTGCGGTGATGTATCTTCAGAGAAAGGCTGAGGGTTGTAGTGAAGGTCTGAGCACAATCACACTTGGTCCGGCAGTTGCAGCGAGCAGCCGCTCTAATAGCGACATCTATAACGCGTCCGCCCTGCCTCTCGGCAGTTAACGACTCTGCATGAGTACGTTATTTTGGCGAGACCATTACTAGCAGCTTCGAAAACATTCTGCTTTAGCACGTGTGATTTCATGTTGTTACACGTTTCTTTAATTTTGCTTTATGGTTTGTAAAACATTGCTGGAAGATAAAAATTTGAAGGAAAACAGATAGAGAGAGTTAGGAAGGACAGCAAGAGAGTAGAAGCAAGGAGAACATTGATGGAGGAGAAGTGAGAGAGACTTCGATTTCTGGGAGGGGAAGTTACTAGGTTCTCAGGAAATACACGCTCGTCCTTCTCCTAAGGATTAAGTAAGTGTGACGACGTTAGATTGAGAATTGGTGATATCTTGATAACAGAGAGAGAGAGAGAGAGCGGAATTTTGGTTTGCTTGCTAGTGAATGTAGAAGTCTTCGTTCGTGTAAGTAATATGTTACAACTCTGTCCTTACTGGAAAGAAATCGACTATTCATCATTAAAAATCAACTTGTTAGTGTTGTTTAAGAAAGTAATCTCTGTTTACAGTGAGAATTATACGAAACCCACAAGTAAAAAATGCAAAGATATTGATTATTAACGCTCGTGGTAATTTTAGTTTCCACTGGACTTTAAGGGGTTGGAATAAGGATGTTGTCATGGGCGAGGAACTGGGCTTCTAACGGGCGCTTTGTACATCCAGAAGATGATATATGACGGAACATGGAGCAGCAGTGTAATGATATTGACAGGGAAAACCCGAAGGACTCGGAGAGAAACCTGTTCAGTGCCACTCGGTCCACTATGAATCTTACATGGACTGACCTGGGAGAAAAAGTAGGAATCCGCAGTGATAAGACATATTATCGACGTCAACTGACCAAATTCTTCACGTTTAGACACCATTAATATGTGGCATCGTATGCTTAGACAATTTCAAATTATTGACCACGGTCATCGAAGCTGGGATCAACCGCTTGCTAATCTAGGTTCCGAAGTATTATATCCACTTCTTGTATCCAAGAATATGTATTATGTATCATTAAATGGTAGATAGTAATTCAAGTGTTTCATTTATCGCTGTACCCTTCGAGGTAAATGTTTTAATTGAAAGAGAGTTTCTTGCATGGTATTCCTCCAGGTCAATCGACCTAGTCCAAACATGTCCAAATTAACTGAAATTAGGCTCTAGATACTAAGAATTTAATTTAGTGTCTGCTAAATCCCATCCGACAACTTTCACTTCCTATTAGGACAGCGTGTAGGTTAATTAGTTCAAGGACCATAAAACATGTTTCTCACACACGCCCTCAAAACACACACATGTGCATAATACGCGATTAACTTTACAACTGTCTTTTTTCTGTGTGTCATATTCAATACCAGTAAAAGTAAGCCTACAGCAATGTCTGGTATTTTAGGCTCTAACCTTGGTGGTTATTTTGAGCTCATCATATATGTATTTTTAATTGTGCAACCTCGAAACCAGCTGGATCATTCAAATGTCTCTTATGAACTTCTACCTTCGGCCAACAGAATGCATGTAACAAAAATGGGAGTTATAATTTTATTGCTATAACATAAAATAATATTAATTTTCCGATTATTAGTCATTTCGTAGGTTTGTTACTTAACTATTCTACACCGAATAATTTCGTAATACGGTTTCCATTTTGAAAATCTAATAGTCGCTCACCTATTCAAGATATTCTCCGCCCTTTCTTGGGACCAAAAGTTCGTAAGGGCCCAACACTACACCCTATCTTAAAGCAAACAAATTCCGTTCTCACTGTTACAGCCTTCTCCCTTATGATTTATTTTAATATTATCCTCACATCTACGCCTATGTATTTTCAGACTTATCTTCCTTTTTTGTATTCCAATTAACATTTTTTTACCAATTTCTAGCGTTCCACATGCCAATCTCTTTGATTTGATCGTCCAAACAATCTTCTCTGAAGAGTACCCATTATGGAGCTCCTTATCAATGCAGTTTTCTCCACCCTCCTGTCACTTTATCCCTCTTATTTAATCTTGCGTCTTCGCGGTTGATTACCACAGGCGACAAAGCTACCAACCGAGGTACACAGTCTATGGAAGTGTAAACGTAAACATTGTAATAAACAAATAGGTCTAATGAGTTTAGGTATAATTTCGATTGTGTTGCCAAGTCATAGAAAGTGAAGTGTTTTTTCCATAATTTGCCATTTAGTTTATTCTCAGAAGTTTTTATATGGGAACTGGTTTTATATTAAATACTTATTGATTATTTATTTGGACAGGTCTTATGTGTGTGTCTAAGTTATATATATACAACAAACTGTGCATTAAACCTACATAAAATGCCCGGGTCACTTTGTCAAGTTTTATTTTTAATTAGTAAAAGTAAAAGTAAAGCTGTCCCACTATACGCCATGTAGGCGCCTGGGGGGAGTGGAGGTATAGCTCCTCTCTTCCTTGACCTGAAAAATATTATTTAAGACTTGATTTGGTAGTCGTCAATGTCGTTTACCGGCACAAATTGGTGAGCAAATAAAACTCAGAATTCTGTCAGTTCGCATTTAGATTTTTTTTTCATTTTGAATTGAAGGCCAGTTCTGTTTATTCCAAATTTCCCGTCTACCTTCAGGTGTTTTTAATTTTTACCGTAAAACTTTGTTATTTATAGGTCAATTTTGAACACCATGGGCATTTCAAAAGTATTGTGGAGGCACCCAGTTCGTATCCCGACAGTATAACTAACTGTTATACCTGACCGTCCTTTCCAAAGTAGATTACTTATAAAATCATAACAACTATTATATGAAAATGATCTGAAAGAGAAAATATTTGCCAAGGAAGCAAGCTGTCGAGGGTTATCCGTTCTTTGTGACGTTGTTTTAGCTGCTGTTTCTTCACGTTTCTCAGATAATGGTCAATGTTTTCACAAATGGACCGAGCACAGCGCAACATACGTTAAGTTCTCAGGTCACTTCCTATTCCGACACAACTCATTATCATTTGTCAAGTCCAAGTGGACGGAGGAGTATTCTGCAATTCCCCATATAGGCAGCTACAGAACGGTCCATTCCTCTTCCACCCCTGTTGCTGTAGCATGTATAGTGGGGTCGAATAATGAACACAATCACATCTAGTCATAGAGCAGCTTCCACGTACTCGCTTACAACCCTTCTCTCTGTCACTGTTCACTTGGAAATTGGACGTTTAAACGAGAGATTAATTAAATGACGTTTCTTTCTATTTCGCGACAGTAATTGATACATTACATCGTGAGGAACAGAAGCATTATCCGGGACTTTGCATCTACACAGAATTTGTCGAAGGGCGCTGTAAAGGCTGTTTCTTTAATTTTAGAAAACAAATATTGTCTACAGAAAATTCTTAAGTATTTCAAATAGATTAAAAACAGTGATAAGTATCTGTGCAAATCTGTAACTGAAATTCATTAGCACCTGATCGCAGGACACACTTCAGAACTGAGTTGTGCGTTTGTGATCTTTGATTGTGAAACAGTATAAGGTATTTCGAAGTCAGTATTCTATTCAAAATAATTTTAAATTTAGTGCTACAGTTCTAAGAAAGTATACGACTAAAGATTTTTCAGGAGTTCCTCTAATAGGCACGAAGCGAAACGAAAAGAAGCTAGACTGAAAGTTAGCGAAAATTTGCATGTCACGGAACTGTCACCACATAATTCGACATGAATTTTGGCTGACCGCTGATGGGATAAGTTTTGTATTTATGGTACAGTTCTGAATTACGTGCAGTGGTTACATATTCCCATTACAATAGCTCAGTTCCCAGAAATAACTTCTTTTCACAGTTGAGTTCACCCAGCAACCTCAAGAGATGCAATCAAGTATTGAAAATAATTCTGAACCATAACTTTAAGTACACAGGTTTTGTACGACAAAGAGAACTATAGGTTTCTATGCTTAACAGACTTTTGTAACTTTTTGCGGAATATCGAACTTGCAGATATTTAATCGTAGAGTGAAGTGTAGCTCAGTATTAATGGGAGTCAATAAAATATCATCGGATAGGAATAGTTTCTACATTATGAAAGAATTTTTAACTGATATACTCACGGCATGTTCAAAAATAGATGTAATCCATTGAATACATTGATATTAGATAAATTATTGTAATGATTTGTCAATATATTTCTTGCATAAATTAACATGACTCATGTTACAGAACACACGTTTTATTCTGAACACATATTCTTTGCTGAAGATATAAACTAGCCTTTTACGTAACGAACTGAAATAAAATAGACATTTGTTAGTATGTTGCCTATATTTTTTAAGACACTATAGGCTACAGTAATTATAAGATCAGAAACGATATTAGGGTTCTGAAGGCACAGAATTCCTACTTCCAACATTTATTAGCGTTATGAATGTGCGTGTTTTTATGTTTCTCCCATGTGTCTCTTACGGACTTGTTTGCTTTTATTATAGCATATGATAATTTATCTAATGCTCCAAACTGTCTTAACAAATTTTGAGTGACTTTGTCATTTGTGTTTAATCTGTGAAAATAATCAGTTTTAAAGTTATTTAATCTGAATATTCACGTGCTTAGTTTGACATCAGAAATATATGTGCTATTATTATTGTATCAACTTATTTTTATTATCATTATCATTCGTAATAAGATTGCCCTTTGAAATGCCAAACTTGTTTAAGAAAATGTCTTACATTTCTACAGTATATGTTCTTACTTTATTAAAATCAGTGACACTAAACGTTTACACGGGAGAAATAACATGTTTTCAGTGACCCTTATAATGTGCTGCCAGTCACCTGTCAATTTTAACGTCTCTTGTTACAGAAGCTGTTGGATGAACCTCATTGCAGACATGATGAAGGACTTCACAATCCTATCCTGCGTAGGTAAGTTCAAGGAATCATTTTTTTTTAACTTTACTTTTCCGCTGCATGACTAGTTAAATCCGAATTAACTGTCGTTCTGCATAGGCGTGACTGCAGTATGGACGTCATTACGTCATTTATTTTTTTATTCCCGTTGCTGTTGACCGATTGGCACACTGTCACAGTGCAAATTATTTTTGTATTAATTTATTTCGTTATTTTCAGAAACGGGCATCGAATTTGAATTTTTTTTTAATTTCAACTAGTAGATCAGTTTTCTTCAGCCATGTTTTTTGTATTTATTATAGACTCCTGTGAGGGCATTTGTAAAAGCGAGCATAATCATTTTTAAACATTAAGTAACTTTGGTAACTGTTATAATCTCTTTATTATATGTTGACGTATTAGAACCTCTTACCTAGGTGTTTGATTTTAATCATTGCCCTGTATTCTATCGATAAGATTTTCTATTGGTTGATTATTGTCGGGAGATGTTGTGTTGCGTGATAATGCTCTGTGGGCAGACTCCGAGGATGTTTCCCTACCACACAGTACCTACCGGGTAATTTAAAAGACGCTGTCTACGGCAATTCTATTCTCTTATTATCTCACGCGTCGCCAAGATGTTTATTGGGGGACATAAATTCCTTAGTGACAGAGTAATTAAATACCTAAGGAGCTATTCGTAGAGTCACAGCTTTGAATACATGGTGTAGCTGCGTAAGAAAATAATGTCCCTTGCCGAGCCAATAATGGAACGAAAAGACAATTTTAATACTCAGTTATTACCAAACTTTGAGTAGGTTTGTGCGGTCTTGACACTCTTTACAGCATTTTGGATGAACATAAAAGATGTTAAACTCTACAGTGTTTTTAAGAAGTCTAGGGTCAAAGGTCTACTTTCATCCTTATGACTTTACGGTGTAATCTAGTATCATGTTAAACCAGAGGTTCTCACAAGGTGGGTTGAGATGTGAAGGATCTATCACGTTTTCCTTTCGGTTGAAAATTTTTAAAAATGTTTCGCTCTTTGTGAAATGAATACGAACAGCGAAGATGTACAAAAATATCCGGATTTTGTTCCCTTATTTCTGACATTCAGCCTTTCTTTAGTAGGGGAAGTATGTAGCAGATGATTTATGAATGCGCATTCTTGTGTCTTACCTGTACTAGAAAGATTACTTCCTATTCATTTAATAGTTGTTTCCTCGGTGTTTCTCATTTTCCAGGATTGAGTTCATAAGGCGTCTAAATGGAACATTATTTTATGGTCTTGCAGCTCGAATATTTAATTTATTAAGTACATATTACTAAAGTAATATGTACTTAATAACCATTTACTATTTTCGCTTGTTCCTAAAGTCGAATGGCTGGCGTGTAACAGCGATGTTAAACCTTCATCTTTTAATCCACTAGATCCATATCATGTAAAGTTTAACTTTCAGTTCCAGGAGTCACAAATTTTTTACCGCCGTATATAAAACGATAGGAATATTTTCACTAAAACTATTGATTTTTTTAAAATTTACCGTTCAAAGATACTGTATTTCTTCCTGTTAAATGACGTTAATTCAGAGACTGGAACAGGGTTTTAGTTTTATTAATGCATTAAATTAAAGGGGATGCTTTACAGAATATTACACTTGATTGAATTGCGTGTTCTTGGTCTGTTCATAGTCATAAGTGTTCAGATACAACTGAAATTATTTAATTAGATCGTCAGACAGTGCAGTTGTGCTGTTATCTGGCCCACTGAACCAAAGTGCAAGGAAAAGGAAAACGTCGAATATGCTCCATAACTAACTTGTACTGGTTTTTGTGTGGTAATATAATGTTGCGTATAGCCGTTATAGCTGTGATTAGTGTCATATTAGACTCGGATTTTAACCATTAAAGGTAGGTATGCGGGCATAATAAAAACAAAGATAAGCAACGTTTCTAACTGTTGAAGTCAGTATTAGCTGTTTGGAAGCGTGCGACCTTGAAAATGCTTTTCGGTACTCCAAAGAAACTTTTTGATGACCTGTTATGAGTAAAACACTGGTTGTAATGATACAACAGAAGACATTTCTTGAAATGGTGAGACTCAGTGTAAGAAAGGGACAAATAGAAGATTAAAAGACAAATTATAAAGAAGGAATATGGGCAAGTAAAATAATAAAATAAAAGTAAGATGCAAGGCCATGAAGGAGATATAAAATTACAGAAGAAGAAGAACTCAGAAGAGGAGAGGAAGGAAACAAAATGCAAAGAAAAAATATCTTGCTGCAAGGCTTAAGGATACGAAAATAGTGGAATCCGTATTGCTCGAGTTGAAATCTGTTAGTGTTTTCTAGAAATTCCGTACCAATCTTAGCTATAAACCTACAACAAAAGTTGATTTGACGTTGGATCCAAATCCAGTATTTAAGTATGTGTACGTAATGTGTATAGGATTTATGTCGTTGGGTGTGTTTGTTTGTATACCAACAAAGTCCGGAGATTTGAAAAGACACTTACTTACTAACGGTCACGAAAACCTCAACAAATCTTATGAACTGTTGACCTGCATGAAAATGTAGTATTATGAAAGAAAGTTCTCGCATGAGTTCGTAATTCCGAAATCATGTTACGGGCAGCTTGAAACTTTTCGAGGGTCGCATGCTTCCCGCGGGCCGCAGGATACCAACCCTTAGTTCGAACCCAGTTTTCCGAACAATTTTCCGCGGACGTTGCTTTTCACCTGGATCGCGCCGTGTGTCTCGAGAATTAGCAGTACCTGAAGGGGTCCGTGGCGTTGCGTAACGCGGGCGGACGGACTGGCTGGCGTCTGTCGCGAGAGTTTACACTAAGAGGCGCCTGACGTTAGGTCCCCGACCGTATAATATAAACTGCGACCAGCATTAAGACTCGCATGCCGTTTCAGCTAGAGGCACGAGGCATGTGTCTCCAAACCGCGTGCTGGTTTATTAATAGGCACTCTTCTAAACAACGCCTTGCTTTACAGTTACTGCCTGTCATCCACAGACTCCACTCCTTATTCTGCCACGATATATGTGTAAAATCGGCTTTGGAAGTGTCTGATATTATTTAACAGCAGTAAAGAATGTAAGCTACTAGCTACTATCGCCACTCAGGCGGATAACAAGGAGTCCCTGGGGGCGCAGCTCATAGCGCTTCGTATTACAGATGTTTCTAGGTTTAGAGATAATTTATTTTAATGACGTATTCTGGTAATGAAGGTTTATAATCCAAATACAAAATGAAATTTAGGTCACAGGATATCTTGCTGGTCTTTTGTGTAGATCGTTAATGTATCGCGTCCTTCTCGATTAGAAAGACTTCTTCTGTTGCTTGCAGCCGTAAATTTCACTGATTAATTTTATTGTTAAGCAAAGGGCCTACCTTGTTTTTTCGGAAGAACTTAATAGATCTACTTAAAAAAAGATTATTCATTCCTGAAAATGGATAGAAAATTTTTCCTAAAAACGTTATTCTGTACCTATCAGTTTACACGACACTTCTACTCCAAAGTATAATACATATTTCCACTCCTTTTAAATTACTAATTGTTAATGGGGGTCAGCATTTTGAATGTTGCAGTAACATTTTTCACTTGAACCAATGTACTTAATACAGCTGTTATTTTCATCTGGACTTTGAGGCAGTCTTTACAAACGTAAATTCAAATCAATTTAAGACGACTGCTGGCTTAATGTATCGTCAGCGATTGAGCCATGTGTGTTATTCGACATTTTCCAGTTGCCCGTACCAACTTATCTCTACCGTCACACCCACTGAAGAGTTTGTGTGTGTAAAATAGAACACCCGGAATACACATGTATGGGGTTGAAAACTGACATTGACGTCAGCTTTGTTGCTAATGTCGGTAAATTTACCAGAATGAAATGCTTACACATGTAACAAAATTGACTTGCATCACTCAAGACTTCTCAAACAACATAATTCGTTCCTCCTCCTCTAAAGCAAGTCCCAGAATGGTTCTTGACAGATGGATGCGGACACGTGTTACAAGCTGATAAAAAGGGCTCAATCAGTTGCACTGAACTAAGCAGTAGTCTGTTCCACCGACGATCAAAGCAACTTTGTTAGGTTGTAGGCAATAAATGACAGTTGAATGGGATGAAGTTCTCTAGGCATTCTTGTACAGCGTTTCTCCTATAAAGACCATCTATGTTTCTAAATACGTAAACAGTAGGTAATGTATGATTTGAGATTCTCACGGCAACTGGTATAAAAATGGTTAGCTTCTGGGTTATAGCGGGGTATAGTCTGGTGATCGCCCTCATGATGGAGGTAGTATGACCTCTGAAACGTCGGTAAACATCTACCAGACTGCACAGCGCAACAACCCAGAAAACAGAAATCTTCATACTCACCGCTGGAATTTATGTATACTCTAAAGAGGATACTGTTGA